TCTCTCCCAAACAAGCTCTTAATCCACTTAAATTCAATTAATTCCAACAATATGAACACTTCCCTTTCACAAAATATCACAAAACAAGAATCAGATCCCCAAAATGGATCTTTTCTAAAGGTGGCGGAATATCATGCCAGTTTCATACATCTTTACGAACACATATCTCCAATCCATTAATTAAACGTATCTCTTTTTATAATCTTTTACAATTTTGTCCATCGCAATGTATTAAAAGTTAAATAATTTTACAGTCATGACGCCTTTACAATCTCGTCACATTTGAATAAAGATTTTTGTTGAGGATTACTACCAAATATTCTCACAAATGTAACAACTTTACAGATGTTAAAGACAACCAAATAGAATAACAAATAGATATACAAAATTTAATAAAATAAACACACACAACTTACAATTGAACTATTCTAAGTAGGTACACTTTAACAGGGAATTTTTTGTGATTATAAAATGACTTCTTTGAAGTTAAAAGTCGGTAGTAATATTCGTTAGAAGTGAGAAATAAACTAATAAAACTTGTCCGTTTCATCTTCTAGTGGACGCAATAGTGAACTACAAGCATGTTAGGCAGGGAGGACAACTGGCCTTAGTAGACCCGGGGGGGGTGGGGGGTGGGGGGAGAGCGAGAGCTTCAAGAACAAGGAAGATTGGAAGGAATAATGAACTATAAGCATGTACGTACGCCGTGTTAATCTTACTAGACAATAGCTATAAACATGATTTAAAAGATTTTTTTTCTTTCTAAAATACTTTTCAAATACCATCTAATCTTCTGTTGACCAAAATGATGAATTTGATGACTTTAAGTCAAAACAACTTACCAAAAATTTGAAAGACTAACGGTAAGAATACCAAATGACAATGAACGTCAAAGCAACGCTAAAAAAATGTATGCAAAGTCGAGCCAAGAATTGAACTCTTTGTTCTTAAATCGAATTTGTACCACAATGGTACCTACGGATGATGGCAATCAACTCCCAAGATACAACGACAAACTTCTTGTGTTATTAGCACTTCAAAACACATGAACAATGAATCGAAAATTGAATTTTGTACTCCTTATTTTTCATTAAAGACAAGATACACAAAATTTTCGTAATTGGTGGCTGAGAAACTAGAGCATATGATTTTTTATAGCTATGATACCATATCGATATTGGAAAT